CTCTTCGAAGTTGTTTTTTTTTCTTTTTTGGTTGTTTCTTGACTTGCCGGTCGAGTATGGCCCAGAGGTTTTCGATGGGGTTCATGTCAGGAGATTGGCTCGGCCAGGGCAACTTCTGGATACCATTTTCTTCCTGCCACTTTTGGGTGTTTCTAGCAGTGTGACACGGTGCTCCATCTTCCTGGAACAACATTGTGTTCTTGTCCACGAAACCCGAGGAATAAAGTGGCAAGAGTCCTTCCTCCAATAATTCAACGTATTTCACAAAATTCATGTTGCCAACGCACTCCACTAAGCTCGATCTCCCACCAACCCAAACAGTTCCCCAAACCATCACACAGAAAACACCATGCTTCATAGCTGGCTGCAATCTGTTGAGCCAAAGCTCTTGGTAAGGCATATCCTTCCACTATCTGAAAATTGAGCGAATCTTGATTCGTCTGAGAACCATACGGTCTTCTAAAAGTCCAGAGGCTTGGTCATTATATCACTTGCCCACTTCTTTCATCTGACTACGTTGGCAGGTCTTAATAAGGACTTCCATCTAGCTGCTCTGCAACGATAACCCAATCTGTGGAGAATCCATTGAACAGATTTCGGGCTCATCCCACCAACTTTGGCCATTTCTGCAGTCGTTAATCTGGGATCCATTTCAATGCTCCTCTTGACAGCCCTTTTTGTCCTCTCCGATGGACCAGGATGACCTGAACGCTGCTCAGTTGTTTCCTTGCCGTGTTTCCTGAACTGCACGATGATTCTGTTGACTGTCGAAAGCAGGATTCCCAAATTTGCCACTGACTTATTCCACCATCTGCTTGACCAACTATCCTTCCTCTAATAAAATCTGACAATTCGAGAGAACCTTGAGTTCTAGGCATGTTGTAGCACAAGATAATTAGTGTGCAGACCATTTTCATTTATATAGTGCTCTGTGAACACAAATTAGTTAGCATAAATCAGTTAAATGACGATAAATTAGGTGTCTATTTACTTGTGACCAATCAGTGTACATTAATGAGGAGCACACCTGGACCCAATGAGTCCCAAGAGCAGAGGAACCAATTAATAAGGTACAGGGCAGAAGGAGAGGCAAAAATGGCAAAGAGAGGGAATGATCCTCTCCAGAAAACCCCACTGGAACATGACGAAGTGCTCCTGACAAAAGATGGTAAGAAAAAGATGAAGACTCAAAAATGGAGAATCAGAGAATGAAATAGAAGGGGTCTGCTCCCCAAACAGGCAAAATAGTTTCCAAAGACAGGGAATCTAGAAAATAAAAGGAAGAATGGTTGTAAGTCAGGTCAAAAGAGTTACAAATGCGAGGAGGATGAAGCATGTGATTGCAAAGTGTGGAGCTATTCAACAAAGGAAACAGTAATAAAGATTGTTTGTTTGTAATTAAGCACAAACTACACAATGGGCTATCTGTGCTCTTCCCACCATGTGTATCGAAACCCGGTTTCTAGCACTGAAAGTCTTCAGACATACCACTGTGCCACAAGGGGGTGGAAACAGTATAAATCTTAATATCATGAAAAGGAGGAAAGACAAAATAAACCCAAGAACTGGGTTCATGGAATAAAGAACAGGAAATATTAGAGGACACAAACAAAAGGTAATGAATAAAATCTACCTAAGAAAGCATATAAATAAAGATATTGAAAAGTTGAGGACATTCCTAAATTGGTAAGGCATTACCCAAAGCAAATTATTATAAAATCCAAATGGCCACTGACAACTGAGGAAACAGAACATCAGCTGAATGGATAGGATGAAGAGGCCTAGTGAGTATGAGGTAATCAACAACATGTTGAACTTAAAGGCTTTAACATCTCCAACAGTTAACAAGCTTCCAGAACCAACAGCATAAATAAGTCCACAGGACAAATTAGAAGTTAGTGTCACTTGAGAATTCATGAAAAGAATTAAAGCTTTTGAACCAAAAAACCATAGAAAATAAAAACTAAAGTTTTGTTAAAAAATGCAAAGCTCATCAAATTGAACTCGGAGGAGAGATTTGAACATGTCTGTCCAATGCAATACCAAGGAAAAGAATGAAGTTATCAGGAGTACAAGTGCATAGGGAGAGTTACTACACATGGAGGTTGTGTCACCCTTCTACTGGTGGAAGGCTACTGTTGCATGATGCCATCATGCACCAGCACAATTCACATTAAACATGAATTTAGGTGGGAGTTGTCATCTTGGAAGCATTTTTCAAAGCTCAATTTAATAAAGGAAAAGCTCAATGATGTTTATTATTTTTGGAGTCATTTAGTTACTTCCTTCTTGATATGCTATTAATGATGTGTAGTTGATTTCAGTTACCAAAGTTGCCAAAACCTGGATTAAAGTAGTATAAATTGAAAACAAATTCATTCTCAAGCATGCAGCAGAGAAACAGAATGTCATTGGGAGGCTTGAAATAAAACTTACTGATGATATAAATATCTTTAATTATCAATCCAAAATTTAAAACATTATTCATAACATAGCCTTACCAAGAGTAAGAATAAACTTCCCAACGTTTTAGTAAGTTTCACAAATGTTTTGTATAATTTATTAGTTTTTCTGCAGCTTATCAAAATAAGAGTACCTAATTTTACAACCACGACTGGGCTGGGGTGGGCCATGTACCCTAAATTTTACTTTGGCCCACCAAAGTTCATTCTCTCTAGTGGTTTAAAATATCTTAAGGTTTCTTAAATCTTTAAGAATAGTCAACTAGGGGGAGATTATTTTACTACATTACCTTTCCTGAAAATCTATATCACTGTATTGTGGCCCCCACAAAAACTCTACTGCTCCCCCAAGGAGGATGTGCTGGAATCAGGCCTCCTGTTTACAACTAACAGTGATAATTCTTAGCTGATGTTTGTTCTCATCTACTGTACATAGTGTTCAATATAATTCTTAAATATGTGGATAATGTAGGGTAAAGTTAGTGACAGATACCAAATACAATAACTAACAAAAGTTTTCTTTTTAACTGTAAAAATATTTTTTTTATTCTGTAAGTTTACAAAACAAGCCTGGGAAGTGGGTACATCACTCTATTTTTGTAAAGTGAACCTTTCATTGTGACTTTTTGACTGAGGAACTATTTATGTATTCTTGTTTAAATAAATATTTATTTCCACTGATGATAATTACACTTTTCTTTTTCCTGTTTTAACCATTAAAAATTTAGTTATAATATTTATCATTTTGAAACAAACAGCAAATTATACTGAAACAGTTTTAAAACATTTAGCTACAACTCCAAAAACCTACAAAACAATTCTCTCACAATGCTCATAACTACAAATTAAAAAAGTAAGAAAAAATTGTGTTTATTGATCATCAAGAATACTATTATTATATATACAATTCTCCCTTTCTGCTTTAAAGAACTAGAGTTTACAATAAAACTTGGTAGAAAGATTAAATGTTGATAAAATTGCATGAATAGTCTTCTTTGAAGGCTATAAAGTTAAGATAATTAAAGATAAGTATTAAAAGAAGAATGTTTTTACCTGAACAACAGTGTATTCATTTTCTGAAGATGCATAGATGAGAAGACTATGTGGTGAGTTAGTCCGAAACGTTACAGAAAGAGACTTTGTTGAAGAAGATTCAGTTCTGGAAAATGAACGCTTCCATTTGTGCCCATTATAATAAGAATAGCTTTTTAATAGAAGTCGGCGCAATTCTTCTTGTGGAACCAATTCTATATATGCTTCTTTGTCACCCAATGAAATTGGTTTAAAAACTACATGGTAAAGAATATGTCAAAGTTATAAATAATTAGAATTAAATGTTGTAAAATAAAATAATGAAAATGCATAATATTATATTATCTTTTTTTATCATTCCAAAAATTATAAAGTTTCTACTTCAAAGTAGAGTAAAGCTAACTATTACATATGTAAATGTCATCAAAATACAAATCTTACAAAATACTGTCAATATTAAAAGATAGTAACCTACAGATGCCACAAATTTATAGAAACACAATAACCATACACATTTCACAAAATGGTAACTGAATTAACTGCTGTATTCTTTCGCAATTATGTAAAAGTTAATCTTTATCAGAGACACATTATAAATAAATTAAGACTGTAGAACATATTTGCATATGTTATATGTTAAAATTGTATGCTAATCTTACAGCAGTTAACACTAAATGATCATAATACAAGTATCTGGATACTATTTGCTAGAAAATTCCAGAGTAATAGAGTCCAGGACTTATAAATAAGTGAGCTTAACTTTACACAGAAGACAGAAAGACTTAAACTAGACTTTTCCAAACTCTAGTAATGTGGTTTTGGTTTGTTAAGAATTTTTTCTTTATTTTACAATTGTGGTAATCAACGTGGTAGTGATTTTAAAGAGAAATTATCACAGACTGTATTGTAATAAAAGAACAGGAAGAATAATTTGTCTTGTCGAATTGTGAGACAATTACTTGAAACTCTGTATACAACTGTGATAACCAACAGTGTAACGAACATTTGTATATGTGTTTGACTTATTTTAACACATTATTTTAAAACAAGTGGACTGTGTGCTGTTTGTACACTGTTGAAATTTATCCCCAACAAGTCACAAACACTTACTGTAAAGAATCTGACCCATACAAAAAAAATCTGACAGTTGGTGAGACAGCCAGGGTCTACAGTGGTAAATGGCGATAGAAGTAGATGTAAACAACAGTGGCAAAGAGGCTTATATGTGCACAGTTGTAATGGTGGCAAAAGACGGAGGACACAAGAATGGCAATGGAATTAGGGCCAGCTGATCAAAGGTGCCCAAATTTGAGGAAGAAAAAGACAATATGGATGCTTTCCTGGAGAGGTATGAAAGATTCACCCAAAGTCAGAACTTGGACAAAGGTGACTGGGAAGTCTGTCTCAGCCCTCTTCTCACAGGAGATTCCATGGACTATGACATGTTAAAAGTAGGCTTGCTGAAAGGCTATGAATTTACAAAAGCAGGTTTTCATCAGAAGTTCAGGGAAGTCACACCTGACACTGGAGAAACTGTATTTCAGTTTGTGGCATGTCTATGGTGATACTTCACAAAGTGGACTGACATGGCAAATTGTGAAAATAGTTTTGAAGGACTGGCAGATCTAATAATAGTTCAACAGTTCATAATCACTTGATCCTCTGACATGTCACTGTTCCTAAAAGAGAGAGCTTCAAAAGATGTGGACAAGATGGAGCACATTGCAAGTCTGTCACCAACAAGCAACCACAGAAATCTCAACATAAAGCAGCTGGAACTATCTACAAAGGTTGTGCTGACAAGAAACAAGAAAAGAGTAACTGTAATCATGGATGTGGCTACCAGAAAAAACAGAATGAAGATGACTTGTTAGCTTCACTACAAGAAGGAAGTGCTATCTATCACCATGATTAAATAGTGCATGATTGACTGTTAGCCCAAGTTAGCAAATGGGTCAACAGGGCTGGTGGTGACTGGAGCAGGTGACAAACAGAGATGATCCAACAATCCACAACATGCCAGTAGGTGAAGGCTAAGTCCTACAAAACACTGGGTGCAGCAGTGAGAACCAGTCTAGTATCTGATGGCCAGATAATGGGCAAGATACATCTTTGTGTGCTGATTGATGGGACAGTGTGAAAGTTTCCCATAGCAAGAAAAAGGGTGGACACTTCATACCACATGGAAGACTTTGAGGCCATGTGTATGAAGACACCCACTTATGACTTGGTGATTGGAAATATACCAGGATGTAAAAGTCTGGAGGAATCAGACAGAAAGAAGACTGGTGAAGCATCTGCACTCACCAGAAGAGCTCAAGAAAAGAAAAGCAAACAAGACATCAAACCCCTGCAAGTCTCAAAAGGCAAATCATGAATGTAGGTCTATGGGAACTGAAGGAAGCACAGAAGAAAGACCGTTTACTGCAGAAACTTTGGGACACTGCCAAGGAGAAATTCGAGCACAAGACATAGGGAAAAGGGACTTACAGAGTAGAGGACCAGAAGAGAGTACTGTACTGGATCTATCAAGGCAGTTCTACTGGAGAAGTTAAACAGATCATAGTACCAACATAATACTGGATTCAAGTGATAAAGTTTGCTCGCAAGTCGGTGGTAAGAGGACATCTAGGAGCAAAGAAGACAGCAGACAGAATTACCAGCAGCTTCCATTGGCTGGGTGTCATCAAAGATGTGACCAGATTATGCAGGTCATGTGACATCTGCCAAAGGATAGTACCTAGAAGAAAGGTAGTCAATGTGTCACTTGGTGAGATGCCTTTCATAGAAGAGCTATTCAGAGCAGAATAGCTGTGGACTTGATTGGACCATTAGCACATGTATCTACCAAGGGCAACTGGTACATGCTGACAGTAGTAGACTATGTGACATGTTACCCAGAAGCCATAGCACTGCTGCAGATTGAGATGGAGTGAGGAGCAGAAGCCCTCCTGGAAGTGTTCTGCAGAGTAGGCTTTCCAAAAGAAGTACTGAGTGAAAGAGGCCCAGTTTACCTCAGAACTGATGCAAAAGGTGTGCAGACTCATCAGCACTTGGCAGTTCTTTACTACCCCAGATATAATGGACTTTGTGAGAGTCAACGGAGTCTTAAAGAACATGATGAAGAAGACGTGCCAGGAGAGACAACGTAACTGGGACAGGTACCTGTAGGCAGTGTTATTTGTCTCCCAAGAAGTCCCACAAGTGAGTACAGGATTTTCACCCTTTGATTTACTGCATGGTAGAACAGTATGAGGTCTGATGTAGATACTAAATAAACTGTGGGCAGGAGAAGAAGTGTTAGAAGTAAGGAACACATACCAGTATGTGTTAGACCTCAAAAACTGACTGAAAGAGACCTTTCAACCTGCCAGTGAAAGTATGTATGCAGCTTAAGGCAGTAACAAGCACTTCTTTAACAAGAAGGCCAAAGATCAACATTTCAGGGTTGGACAGAAGGTCTTGGTTTTGCTGCCCACAGTCAACAACAAACTCACCCTGCAGTGGAAAAGACTTTTTAAAGTGCAGGAAGTGGTCAATAGAATAGACTATAAGGTGAAAGTGGATGAGAAGACCAAAATCTATTATGACAATCTGTTGAAGAGGTAATTTGAGAGGGAAGAAGACCTAACGGTTGTAGCTATTGAGGCCCAGGTCGACATTGCAGGAGTGACTTTCATAGATACAGAACCAGAAGAAAGTGACATTGTCATAGAAGATGAAGACCTATTAGACCTAAGACTGCTCGGTGAAGATGAGATGTAGAAAAATGTCAACATCAGTGAAGAACTGACTGGCAAGCAGAAGAAAGAGCTACAAGATCTACTGTGCCAGTATGCAGATTTCTTCACAGATAGACCAGAAAAGATTGACCTTGTGCAGCAAAAGATGGAGACCATGGACCATCAGTCTGTTGCATAGATCCAGAGGTGCAAAATCAACTGTGTGAGGATCATGAGGTGGGCATTGTTTTTCCACACTGAAGCCATCAAGGGGGCTGCAAATGTTGGTACACACTGTATGAGTAAACTTTGTGCATGAAATGAAAACAGCCTTTGTATATAATATAAAAAATATTGTAAATATTTTTCTTGAAGGGGGATCATTGTTAGATACAGATGACTGTTTCAGTTTGAGATTAATGTAAGACCCACGATTTATGTAGTGAGAGTGTTAAATTTAGTTGTTTCTAGTAGTGATAGTTTATTGCAAGTTTGTTTACATAAATGTTTAAAATTATACTTTGTGTAATTCAATAGTTATGAATTGGTGATTGTTATATTATTGTGTCATGTTACTAAAACCTTCCAAGTTTTTCTCCTTGTTTTAATTGAGTATTAGTGCATCATAATATCTAGTAGCATGTGGAACATTCTAGACCTCTGTCAAGTTATAAATACACATCGACAATTTAGTTTAAAAGATAAATCTAGACTGAGTGATTGTGAGTTGAGCCATAAAAAGCATATAGTAGCGATTCTTAAAGTACAATTATCCAAAATTGTATTGCAATAACAGAGTAGAGAAGAATAATTCATCATGTTCATTGTGTTCTAAAGTAATTGAACTAGCCTGTATGGAATTTAACGAAGAAAAAAAAGAGAGAATTATTTAAAACTCTGGATACAACTGTGATAACCAACAATGTAATGAACATTTGTAAAATGCTTGACTTGTTTTAATATATTTTTTTAAAATAAGTAGACTGGGCACTGTTTTTTTTATTGTTAAAATTTATCACCAAGAAGTCACAGACACCTACTGTAAAGAATCGGATCCATACAAAGAAACCTGACAATTCTGTCTTATTGTGTTCTAATGTCAGAGCCATTACCAATTAACAGATCATGTTTCGTTAGCTTTGGTGTTATATACTGTAACATTAATTTATTTTTGCTTTATTATCTTGAATTTAGAGGTAAGGTTCTTGTTTCTTATCATTTAATGTATTGAGGATTTCTTTAGTTTTTCTTTTAGACTTAAAAATATAAATTTAAAAAAGTCATTTCTACACTAGATGCATTTAGTTCCAACTTCTTTGCTTCCCAAGACCAGTAACTCTATACCCTATATCAGTAATTTATTTGATATGGTAAATTACAAAATAGTCAGCATAGTGTGTGGTGTACCCTAATCTAGTGGTATTCAAAATACTCAAAATAACAAATAAAAAAGGTGAAGCAAAATGTGTGAATGGTTGGATTCGCTAAAGTTACATCTTCCTAATAAGACTGCTTGATCAAACTCTTTTGAAAGTTTGTAATTAGCTTCTTTTTATCAAAGAAGAAATATTATGTAATGTACCAGACCTGGGAATTAACCTTAAAACAACATATTTTGCTATCGAAAAAAAAGCTTAAGATTTGTTTGCATGAGCCTCAACCACACCTTTCCATCCAATATCTATATGAAATAGTGCAATGTAAGCAGTAATCATTAATATAAACACACCTGCACATAACTTAAGGATAGCAAGAGACTTATTGGTCCATCTATGCTATCCCATCCAGTATATTAAACTTTGAAATAAAAATAAAACACTCAAAGCCACCCACCCCTTATCATTCATACATCTATCAAGCCTTCCTTTAAACTCCCTTAAATTATTGCATCTATCACATCTTAAGGCAATTCATTCCAAAGACCAACCACTCTGTTAATAAATAAAGCTGTCTTGGCTGAAGATAGCCCCTACCCTACCAAAATGTATATTTGTGTCCCCTAGTTATACCAATCTTACCATTAAATATTAAAAAAGATGATGCATCAACACTATTAAATCCCTTAAAAACCTTAAACACCTCAATCAGATCCCCTATAACTCAGAGATCTTAACTTATCCTTGTACAACAACTTTTCCCTCCCAGGTATCATCCTAATAACCCTCCTCTGAACCCTTTCCAACAATTCAATATCCTTTCTATGGTAAGGAGTTCAAGACTGAACACAGTACTCCAAATCTGGCCTAACCAATAATGTATACAATGACATTATAGCTTTTTAAGATTTGTATTCAATATTTCTATAAGTAGAGCCTAAAATCATATGTGTTCTGCCATTAGCAACAGCATAATTCTTGGATAGCTTAAAAGACTGATCAACCAGAACACCCATATTCTATTCTTCCATTACACTGTTTATTTCCATCAAAATTATACTCATAATTCAAATTGTGATTTCCCACATGCATATATTATAATGAAAAGTCATCTGCCATTTAACAGGAAACTCACCAAGTTAATCCAAACTCTTTTGTAAAGCAGCATCCCCCTCACAGACAGCAATGCCCCAAACTTTAATATCATCAGCAAATTTAAATAATTCATTGACAATTTATTCATCTATGTTATTGATATAAATCAAAATAATAAAAGAGCAGAGGTCAAAGAAATGAACCTTGGGGATCCCCCACTTGTGATATACATCCAGTTTGATGGACCTCCATTTATATTAGGTCGTCAAGAAATTTATGTCACTTTCTTTTAGATGAAAAAACCCAAACAACTTATATATATCAGAACAAAACATTTATTAAATGAAATAGTCTCCATTCTTATCGATGATGCTTTTCCATCTTACAATCAGGTTGTTAATGCCCTGATTAAAGCAATCATTTGGCTTTGAAGCAAATAACATGTTGATGTGCTCTTTAACACCTTCCACATTTGAATATGTTTTCCCATTAAGCAAACGAAAAAGATGATAATTTGATGGTGCTATATCTGGAGAATATAGTGGGTGGGGAAGAACTTTCCAACCAACTCCATAATGTTGTGTTGTGTCAAACGTGC